GCACATACACACACACACACACACACACACACACACACAAACAAACACACACACAGACAACCTCTCGTTAATATGCGTTTTTCGCATTGCATTGCTGCAAAAAAACGCATAAAAAGTAGAAAGCTGAAATTTTAAGGAGACGTTCCCCGTCCACGCAGATATTAATGAGTTCAAACCCAACCGTCGGGTACGCGGGGTACCCACGTACAGATCGCCATAACTTTTTTCGGGTAAGTCGCTAACTCGAGAATTTGAAAAACTGGAAGGCTGTAATATATTCCCTGTCTACGTAAGTCTCAATGAGCTCAAACCCATTCCTCGGGTATACGTGGCACCCAAGTACGGATCCGCCCAAATTTTTTTCGGATAATTGAAAACTCGGGAATCCGCGAAGCTAGAAGGCTGAAGGGAATGTTCCCCATCCACATAGGCATTAATGAGCTCAAACCTAACCCCCGAGTATGAAAGTTTTCGTGTAATTTGCTAACTTGAGAACCTGAGAAGCAAGAAGACAGAATTTTGAAGGTATGTTTCCTGACAGTCCTTGCGGCCAGCCTGAAATTCTTTCAACTAGAAGCATTTGCTGGAAAAAAACAGTGCTGTTAGCAACAAAAATGTGCGGGAAACTGTGCAAAAAACGCATCTTCGCACGAGCAGCCCGTGCGTTGGCCAATTTTATTTACTTTGAGGGCAATCTTGATGTTTTGAGTACCTAGCTGGTCAGTGAGCTTGTTGGTGAATAAGAATTGAGAATTCACGGTGACTTCTTTCGCGAATCTATTTGCATTGCGTATAGGAAATCTCGCAGCTTCCGATCCATACTTATCAAGCAATAAACTTCTGTACTTGTCGTTGAGACATAAGAAAATCAAATTGGGTAGGAGGCAGGGCATGTTTCTCGTCTTGCCGATAACCAGTAGGCACGGCATTAGCGCGTGGTATCCATAAGACGTAAATGACCATTTGAGCCGTTTCGGAAAAATTAGCACACGTACATCAAATAGACAGTGGATGCTAACTGAATGCATGCATCCCAGGAGCGACGCCTAAGTTGTGCTCAGCGTGTAATAGCACCGCTAACAGCATTGAACTGTGTCTGCACAATATTTTTTTCAGACACTATTGGTAATCCCAGTAAATATGTTCTCATGAAGCTGTCAGATGTTTCGGTATTCCACTGTTTCGATGGCCGAACTTAATTTGGTGTTGAAACGACCGTCGCTTGACATTCCCTACGGCTTCACCATTCGCCACATTGCTTTCTGCTCTCCGCAGCAGGTAAATTCACTTATTATCCAGTGTCTTATCACTTCACGATTCACTGATGAAAAGCATAACAGCAATGTAGGGTGTAAAAACTGGACCAGGGTTTGTTCTGACTAATTCTGACTTTTAATCAATGGCACCCGCCTAGTTAATTTTGTCTCAACATAGAGTCAACAAGGCTGGTCGGATACACGCCACAGACATACACACGCAAGCACGCATACACGTACACACAAACAAACATACACGGACAAGCATGCACATACAAATATGAACACACAC